AATCATGGTTGCCAGTTATATGGAGCTTTATCTAAAATCACAGGAAACGCTTTTCCGTCCCTCACAAATGTTTAAACAACCCGCGACAGGGCATTTCAATACTGCATCAGCTTCCTATAGTCAGTTACAGGTTAAGAAGGTAGCGGCAAATGTCCCTCAAAGGGAATCAGATATCCCTCCGCCACCTCCGCATCCAATAGCGTCCCACCGTTTCCGTGACGTCGCGGCCAACGCGCGAGGAGGGTCTTGCCTTTCTGTAAATATTTGCTTTATCTTTCGACTTTGACTTAGCATTGTGGGAGCCACGAGAGGGAGATTAGAGTTCTCCCCCACCGACGGAAACAAATACGACTTTCGGGGATTAGCTTCCCCCCCGATGGATGCAAGGGCCACTTTCAGGGGCTCGGTTCCCTCTCCGATGAATACAAAGGTCGCTTTCTTAAAAAGTGGGATCGGAGACAAGTGGGAATCCATTGAAGCGAAACAATTGGAGCGTTTCCAGTGAACTCTTCTCTCGACTGCGGAGAGATTTGAAACAGGCGCATCACACTTGTGGGAGGAGCTTCTCCTACCTTCTTGACTTGTAACCGACTATAGCACCGCATCTAATGCTGAGGTAGTCGTACTTTTAGATCATGATGATCGGCAGTTGCGTTTGCTCTGAGCAAGACCCAAAATGGCGGCGCCCAAACCAATTTTGGGGAACTGAGTGCCGATACTTTAATGCTCATGTAGTTACTCTAGGCATAAAGTGAACTCGGGTGTATTATTTTCCTCTTCGTCTTTATTGTTTATTGATTTCAATCATATCGAATAATGTACGCATTATATCACGCTACGCGTGTGTAATTATTTTTCTTAGATTTATTAACCTGACCCAGTAGTTAAACCTTTCATTCATCTATAGTAAATCTTCCAATATATTTTTTAAATGTGGAGGTAAAAAGACACGGAGATTGATGATGATACAGACGCCAACGCCGCCCTCGGAAATTTTTTGAACACTAGAAATCAGCAGTTTGCCTGCCAGCCGTCAGATAGCGCAACAAAACACCCAGACAGTTTTTAATTGTTTTTAAAATTAGCTAAGCTCTACACCCATTAAGAAAACAAAGCAAGATCATTGTGAAAATTTAATACATCGCAATGTATATCTATTGCAAACAATAAATGTTATTAAATGCCAATAAATCTGTTTGATGTCCAAAAGAGATATGCGTAAAAAACAGATAAGTATGAAAGGCTCCTGGAGCGTTATGACTTTGAAAATGAAAAAAAGCCATCGTCCACCTCTTGGGCAACCATTGGAGCTCTAAATGTTATAAAATATTTTATCATAGTTTAATTATTTCTTCAGCGGCATTTGAACTACCATGACTCGAAGCACAAGAAAGTGCTACGTTTAATATAAACTATCTAAACAAAAAAATTTTTGCACAACATTAAATTTTTTTCTGGATATTACCAATTATAAGCACTACATCTGTAGCTAATTTCATTGTTCTAGCGCTTGTCATTAAAAACATATTTGTGCTGAAAAATGTCAATTTTAGGGCAATATTTGGAGGGATCAAGAAAACAAAGTAGTGCAAATACCAAAAAAGTGTATCGTTAGATTCTGCTCGACATCATCTTAACAAAACTGCTATATTGGAACCGTGTTATCTTTAATGGATCGTTCATAAAACATGAACTAGCGGAGCAAGTGAGGGTCCGCGCCATCATATTCGCAACGCTACAAATGCGCATGAACAGTAAAAACCAACACATACATAATATCAAATGAAAGAGGATTGCATTGCCTTTCGAATGACTTCAATCGCACAAAACAGTATTTAAAAGGAGATGAGTAATGGCCTGCCAAAAAGTACCGAAGCTGCCACATTCAGTGGGACCGTGACCTTAAGAATCGCAAGTAAAGCATTTTTCAATTTCTCGAAATTGCAGTAAAGGTCCCGCACTCGTATTAGATCATGACCGGCTGGCTTCAGTAAAGACATACCAGAAAGTATTTCTTCTAGCTCGCAATCAGTCATCAAAGGCAAATACGCTGATGTCATATTAGTTTTAGTGTCGACAACGGACTCCTCATTTTTATTTATCATGTTTCTTAAACTTTGTACAGTATCAATAAACATGTTTTTGAAGGCGTTTCCGAGTGCTCGAAAATCTGTTGTTTTTCCAAAAGTTTTTGCGATTGCCTCATCAATGTTTTGTTTAGCGACTTCAGGGCACCGTTGGAGGTGCCCTAAAGTCGCTGACGCAAATTTTGAGGAATGTATTTGGAAAAGTATTTGGAGGAAACCAAATACATTTGGTTGTATTTGTATCTTGTACTTAAATGCTTTTTTTGGAAATGTAATTAGATTTGTAATTAAATACATTTTTAACGAAGTATTTTGTATTTGTATGTCGGTACATGTTTGCGTGTATTTTGTCCATCCCTGATGGCGACATACTCGGTGAGGCTTCAATAACAACAGCTTTAAATACCCTTTTTATTTCTACGGCCATAAGAGAATGAAACAATTCAGATGGGCACTTTTTTAGTTGCACAAGTGTTGAATTGTTTAGTGATGCAGTTGAAAAATATCTACTTTGTCAATTTATGAATATGTTTTTTTTTTGTTTTTTTTTTTTGGGGGGGGGGGGGGGTTCTGTTACAGGGATGACGCGATATCTCTGCTTTTTCATTTTGATTGATATTTGCCTCTTGATGTATATTTCTTTTGTCCCAATATCTGGAAAAATCTCAATCAGATTGGCAGTATTTTTAAATAAAAAATGAAAAATAAGTGAAGAGGAGTAAACGTAGATTCCTAAAAGCTGGTTCAAGCAGTTGCGACCGTTTACGACCGGAGAAGCTCTTGCGACGGCGGAGGACCAGATCCGCTGCTGCAGAGCAGGTTGTACACCGTCGCAAGAGGCTTAAGATTCGGTCTTGTCTCTCTCGGTCGTACTCGGTTGCAAGTGTGTGAACGAGCCAGGCCGTGCGCCTTATGGCCTCTTGTGACCTTTTATGACGAGAGAACACACTGGCGCCATCTATCGGGAAGTCGTGGAACACTTGCGATTCCCGTATATTTCCTATCTTAAAGCGCAGCTCATAGGCGCCCGTTCCCGCATACAGCGGCGTCGCCGTCGGCGTCGGCGTCGGCGTAAATGCGAGTTGCACTCTGGGATGTCACATATCTACACGCCAATCCAACTTCCCGGCTAAATTTAGCGGAGAAGCTGAATTGATGTGTAGGTTTGTGACGTCGCATTATGGGACGTGACGCGCGTTGCATTATGGGACGTGATGGTTCACGGTCTCACGAAACGCAGCTTCACGGCTCTCACCGTCTCCAAACAGGGTTCCTACCATACCCTGTGGTGAACCACCTGTCTCGCAAATTAGTTGCGCTGTCCTTGAGTGTGTGTGTGTGTGTGTGTGTGTGTGTGTGTGTGTGTGTGTGTGCGTGTGTGTGTGTGTGCGTGTGTGCGTGTGTGTGCGTGTGTGCGTCCGTGCGTGCGTGTGTGTGTGTGTGTGTGTGTGTGTGTGTGTGTGTGTGTGTGTGTGTGTGTTTTTCTAAAGGGTTTGAGGCCTGTGCAGTTTAGTAGGAGATATTGAAGGTTTACTACTTTAATCTGATTTTCACAGATATGGCAGATAGGAGGTGCGAGGGCCTTGTTGGTCTTATGCAACATTGTACACCTCTTAGGCGTGCAGATTATATTTGTTTTGATGTGGAAGAGAAGGACCTCCGTTGTCCTGTAAAATTCTCGTTGAATGTGCTCAAAGTGTTGAGGAAGGCGTTCCACGATAGGTTCAAGAAACACGACTCAGTTTGCCGTGTTTGTTCTGAAATACAAGCCTAATGTGTTATAACTGGCCACTTTCAATTGCGCCCGTTCGGCTGCCTCGCGGCGACGTAAAGAGCTGTCGAAAGTCGAAACCTAATGTCGTGAACTCCCGGAATAAGCGACGAAATATTTGAGGGGTTAATGTAATTTATGTTTATACTAATATAGTATGCCAACATACGTCGAGGCGAGGAAAAACAATAGAGGTAAAAGTAATCAGCACCGGTGAACAGACAACTGCCATATATATATATATATATATATATATGCGTACATCAAGGCATTTCTTGTCACTATGTATTGTGGCGTCCAGTGACCAGCACGAAGACGACTCCTTTGGTATGGTCCTCTCAATTCTCTCACACCACATGAATTCGACGTATTTTCTAGTTTATTCTCCGCACCAGATTCATAGTCCGCACCTGGTGCCTATTCCGCCACTCGAAAAACACCTACTTTATTAGCTCACAAAGAAGCGTGTATGACGCACAAATCTTCATTAACATGCTCAGCCATTCACAAAATCAATGACGTCTTGTAATCTGCAATTAAGGAAAAAAACAAAATATTTGTATTCTGGTATTCATGAGTTGTTAGAACCGATAATATTGAGTTAAGCACAATTCGAGTCACAGCTTTCTTTTCTCGAGACATAGCTCTGGGTATTCCGCTGTCTCTTCAATTAAAAAAAAAAAAAAAAAAAAAAAAAAAAAAAAGCTCATGATTTTTTATTTAGCAAACTAACCTAGTACTGTAGAAGTGTTCGTTCAGCTATACTCCCTTTTTGGGGGAAAGAGCGGAACCGATACTTAGGTAATACGTTACACTGGCAAAAGCTTCATTTATGCAGTGTCAGGGTTGATGGGGATCGCTGAAATTGTGACTGTGTTAATCGATAAAAATACAGATTCAGTGGCTATTCCGCCGACAGTTTCAATGGAGTCTATTTGCTGTTTCACAGCATATACCCTTTTTTGCTTAAATACGCATTACTTGAGGGCGTGTCAACGTTTAGTCGAACTGCCTCAGTCAACCCCCTTATAGCGGCAAACCATTCTGATCTTTCACTTCTAGAAAATCGGCCAGTATTGAAATAACCTTATTAGGTTGCTTTAATCTTTAGGAGACGACTCGCACTCGTTCTGTCCGAACAGATTTGCTCAAGAAGAGCGCTCCAAGTCGAATCATCAATTTGTCCTCGGTGCTTCATTACTTCGGAAGCATCCAATACTTCGAACAGAAGGCCCGAGGAACCTACCCGTGGAAGTACCCGCTGCTTGTGTACTCCAACACGAAGCTCGCCATCAACGCGTTCACCCGGGTCCTTGCTAAGAAGCTGATCGATTTTGGTGAGTGACCACCCTTCTATGCATTCGCGCTGGTTCACACTTAACTGTGTTTGCAATCGAGTGCGTTGGGCAGTCATGTGCACTTTTCTCCCAGCTTTCGACGCGGCAACAGGCTGACGCCACCTGTCGGGTAGCACTGGAACACTTTCCTTTGGCGTGTATTAAGCGTGGCATGCGTTTCATTGAAACCCCCAATCCCAAAAGTTTCTCCGACCGTCCGTGCATTTCCCTCTAAATTTAGCGGAAACACTAGATTGGCGTTTAGGTCACCTGACGTCGAATTATGTCACGTAACCTGACGTAACGTGATTTACACACCAATTAAGATTTCCCGCCAAATTTGATGGGGATATGGACGTCACGTGACCTGACGTCATGTGACCTATACACCGATCCAGTTTCCCCGCTAAATGTAGCGACAAGATTGACGTGACCTGACTTGACGACACGTAACTGCTCAGTGCGATTTCCCCACAAATCTATAGCACCACAATGGACGTAACGCGACCTTTATGCTAATTTAATTTCCCCGCTAAATTTAGCGAAAAATTGACGCCACCTGACTTTTGTACTCAGTCTTTCACCTCAATGTACCGGGGAAATTTATACTAATGATGCTTTCTTCACTCTCCCGAATCGACGGTTTAGTGTCTTCTATTCTCGTTTTTACCCCAAGAACCGTAGTAAAAACAGTCCGGCTCCTCGCGAACTATTACTAATTTCCTCCTTTATGCAGAGAATTAAGGCATATGTAGGTGCATTTTAGATCAGATATATGTTATCTTATCAAGACGTAGACGTTTCAAACGCCAAAAGCAACGCTTCTCCGTTCAGCGACGCAACCTCGTAACAACTGTTTCGCACCTTGTGTTAACTGTCCCGCCGAACTCTCTGCGTGGGTCGTGCATTCTCAGGTGTCACCGTGAACTCGCTCCACCCTGGGACTGTCAAAACGAACATCGCCAACGAGGCACCTGGCCTCCTGACGTTCCTCTTCATGCTGTGCAACTTCTACGGAAAGGTGAGCCACTACCGGCGCATTCGGCCGATGCCACCTCTAGATGACGAGGCCTTTGCCGCCCGAGCGTCATCACTGGCAGATGGCTGCCAGTATGGCCGCCAGCGCGTCCCGCATCGTCTCACAATTAAGCGCCACGCACTAGCGCGCGGCAACACCAAGACGGGCGCGTCTGCCGGTTTACGGCGTCTCTCGCGGAGCTTCAGCGTGTTGGCCGCTTGGGGCATGTCGGAGATCCTCCGACGATGACACTACTGTCGAAACCGGTTACAACGAAGCCAACGGGAATCGGAAATCACTTCGCTATATCCGCTATTTCGTCATAACCGACATCGGTTATAATTAACGATGTGCAAAAAGGAATGGGAAATCGTGATCGCTTGGCTGCAGCCGCTATTTCGTTATAACCGACTTCGTTATAACTGGTCTCGACAGCATACGCAAACCTTGCCTTCTATAGATCGCCCTGCAAATGCCTGCGTATGCGTATGCATTCCGCCATTCTAAAAGTGCTAGTTCGAAGCACTCCTCTGCCTTCCACCGAGAGCTTATGCTTGCGTCCTATACGCAGCGCTAACGCAAGGGTCTTTACGTTTTTCCAAGACTCCCATATATGACATCGGGTTACAGAATGCACTGTCCGGAGTTTAATTGCCGCTCTGTCTATCGGAAAATCCCGGTTACTAATTATAATCAGTTTTGACTAATCATGCATGTGCTTTATATTCTGATCCACTGCATGGGATATGTATTTATATTGCCTTCACCCGCGTGTAACGGCTTTTCGTTGCACTCGAGCGTTACGCTTCCCACATGGAATCCAGCACAATGACACATTATGCGTTGAAATTCCCGATGTCGTGTTCGTGCACGCAGCGTCGCACAGTATATGTTCTATCACGTACAATGTGAGCCGAAACAGTGCTTCGTACTCTTCTGGCGTACCGCCAGTTTTTGAGAGCGCTGTGGATACCACGGACACAAAAAATTGGTGGGAGGGATCGTCGGGATACATATCCCGCCGAGCGGGTGCCTTAATTAAAACGGCTATAAACTTTTTTTTTTTGGCAGACTCCGAAGGAAGGCGCGCAGACGACGCTGCACCTGGCCCTGGAGCCCAGCCTGGAGAAAACGACGGGAACTTACTTCGTGGACTGCTCCAAGGCCCGCGTCGCCTCCAGCCTCGCGGACCGCGACCTCTCGGAGAGGGTCTTTGAAGCAACGGTCAAGCTCGTGAACCTCGATGACTCCGAGATCGGCAAGCTGCTGGACACGTGACATCGTCCAAGCGTGTAACTCACACTGCCAAAAGAGCAATTCTTCGCGAAACTCGGAGGATAGATAGAGTGAGCGGGTCATGACGTTAGGTAACGTGACCAACGTTCGAATAGCAGCCGCAGTTTAGCTATCTAATTTATCGTCAGCTGATAGGCTGACGATAAATTGTCCAGTGGCACATCTTGCCACTGGACCCTTGGAGGGCAGCAACAGGGTCGGCCATATCGGTGCAGGAAACATCAAAGTCTAAAAAAACACGATTTTATTTTTTTGCAGAACACCAACACAGCCAATCACGGCAAGAAATGGAAGAATCCCGGCGGATGAACAAGATCAGAATACGATTGGAATTGGAAAGTGTACCGGGACAAGGAAAAATTAAAACGGCATGTTTATTAACCCTGAGCACGTCGCATGTCTTGGGTGGGTGGTCTAACTATATTCTAAGCTCCGTCATTCGCTGCGATTCTTGTATCGTTTGCCGTGATTGGTCGTCTTTGAATACTCCGAAAAAGTGTACTCACAAAGGTTTCTTTTTAGACTGATTTCTCTAGTCTGTCCGAGTCGCGGTAAAATCAGTTACAGTTTGCTTTCTAAGACATATTTTGTACACAACCACTTTAGAGTGGAATTAGTCAAGTTATTAAAAAAACAGTAAATATTTTTTGATCTTTGGCAACATCCTCTAATATGTAAGAATTCGCTTTGTTTTAGATGTTTTTTACGCAAGTATGCTTGACTTTTTCTGACGAGCTTTAACGTAGCTACTTCAGGCAGTGTTAGTGCTTTTGACGTGTATTTGGTGTCCTTGTAAATGATGTACCTAATTAAACTTAATTTGTTTTCTTTCTTTTGGTGCGTATCTGTCTGTGGACATCATTTGGCTTTATTCATAATTCTAGGGAATAATACATATGGCTGCATCAAACTTTGATGAAGGCCGAATCGCCCTGAAATAAAAGTTTCACGGACACGAAATTTTATAAGCGTCGAATTTGCGAAAGCAAATCAGTTTCAAAGGTTAACCTACGGTTACATCTGATTTCATAAAAAAACTTAACTCGCAATACACAAAACCTTTCGCAAGACTAAACATGCTATAGCAAAAATCAGGTACTAGTTTTAGGGAAAAAAAGTTTAAACTTGTTTTTATTATAATGATAAACACGGGAAGCGTAGAATATAAGCCGTGTGTGCAATGTGTGTGGGCTATTTGTTATGCATGGTTAGAGGGATCTTTGGGCGGTTTCAAATGCGTTGCAAACTTCGCATAGTCATATGTTTTCCGGCCTCGTCAAAATAATTAAGACAAGTTTAAGTTTATTCAGCAGTAGAGTGTGTGAGAATATGCTTTAAGAAAAAGTTTCCGTGTGATCTGCTTGTTTCAAGGTTTTCTATAGCGCCTTGAGTACTTCGTGTCCTGGATGGCGAGAAGATCCTCGTAGTAACTGAAGTAATGCACATAGGTTATGACGTCCAAGTAATTTACGTGTCTCGTGCAAACCGTGTATATTCGACTTCCGCTCCGTGTCGGGTACATGCCGGGTCGGGCTTCCACGACAAACTCGAATCACTTGTACATTAACTCCAAGGACCATGAGTTCTTGAGGTCCCGAACGTCGACGTTGAAGTCGCCGCGCAGAATTAAGGGCATCTCATGGCTCCCGGTGTTCCTGTAGATTCGAGCTCGTAGCGCGCAACCCACGAGACATGCCCAAGGCAAGAAGGAAAAGTTGCATAGACCTGGCATACCCGTGCAATTGCGCCACGCTTCGCCTGGTGCGGGAAGTGTCTCTCACACTGCAGGCAGTGACGTCAGCTGTGTCACGTGATGCCTTATAGCGAAGGGAAGAGGTTCATCGTGTCCACTACGCAATTTCTGGCTGCTCTGCAAAATAACATTTCACAAGACCTACAGAGCAGTGGTCTCACTGTAACTTTTCAAAAAGCAAGTGCTACGGCCACTCCGACTCAATCAGAGCGACGAAGGCGAAGCATGTGCCAGCCCTTACCAAAGGTATGGTGCCGGGAACGAGTGTCCGCTTCGTGTTTTTAACGTGCCCAAGAAAGTGGGTCTCAATTTCCGCCTGATGACGACGGAAGTGTCATGCTGTCGCCGGTCGCGATCCTAGCGGTGTCGCAGCAGACGTGGTGAATGTGCCCGACGCCTGTTCTGCTGCGGGTTGCTCTCCAGCTGGACAGGTCGCAGGAACTCCGGCAGCCAGGTGTTGGGACGCCGCGACGACAGCGATGCTTGCTTTCTATCGTGCTCTTTGCCAGCATTTCTACGACCAACCGCCATGGAACGAGTCATGTCCCACAGCATGACACTCCGGCTTATTTTACGTCATTTTATATTTATTATTTTTATTCCCTGTACCCTCGGTGTCCAAAGGCATTACAGAAACGGAGAACAAATTTGGGATCAAAACAAGATAATTTATAGGTATTCACACTAAAAAAAAAAAATACTGGTAAGAGCAGATCAAAAAAGTTCAGTGTCAGTTATGGATGCAATTGGTCCGGGAACGTGGTTCCAGTCGAGGGATGTGCGAGGAAGGAAAGAAGATTGGAATGTTGATGTGATAGCGATAGGTACCTCAACTTTGTGCTGATGATCATGACGAGCATAACTATAAAAGGGACGGGTGATTAATTTGTCGCGAAGCACAGAGTTATGCATGGTTAGAGGGATCTTTGGGCGGTTTCAAATGCGTTGCAAACTTGGCATTGTAATATGTTTTCGGCCTCGTCAAAATAACTAAGACAAGTTTAAGTTTATTCAGCAGTAGAGTGTGTGAGAATATGCTTTAAGGAAAAGTTTCCGTGTGATCTTCTTGTTTCAAGGTTTTCTATAGCGCCTTGAGTACTTCGTGTCCTGGATGGCGAGAAGATCCTCGTAGTAACTGAAGTAATGCACATAGGTTATGACGTCCAAGTAATTTACGTGTCTCGTGCAAACCGTGTATATTCGACTTCCGCTCCGTGTCGGGTACATGCCGGGTCGGGCTTCCACGACAAACTCGAACCACTTGTACATTAACTCCAAGGACCATAAGTTCTTGAGGTCCCGAACGTCGACGTTGAAGTCGCCGCGCAGAATTACGGGCATCTCATGGCTCCCGGTGTTCCTGTAGATTCGAGCTCGTAGCGCGCAACCCACGAGACATGCCCAAGGCAAGAAGGAAAAGTTGCATAGACCTGGCATACCCGTGCAATTGCGCCACGCTTCGCCTGGTGCGGGAAGTGTCTCTCACACTGCAGGCAGTGACGTCAGCTATGTCACGTGATGCCTTATCGCGAAGGGAAGAGGTTCATCGTGTCCACTACGCAATTTCTGGCTGCTCTGCAAAATAACATTTCACTAGACCTACAGAGCAGTGGTCTCACTGTAACTTTTCAAAAAGCAAATGCTACGGCCACTCCGACTCAATCAGAGCGACGAAGGCGAAGCATGAGCCAGCCCTTATCAAAGGTATGGTGCCGGGAACGAGTGTCCGCTTCGTGTTTTTAACGTGCCCAAGAAAGCGGGTCTCAATTTCCGCCTGATGACGACGGAAGTGTCATGCTGTCGCCGGTCGCGATCCTAGCGGTGTCGCAGCAGAGGTGGTGAATGTGCCCGACGCCTGTTCTGCTGCGGGTTGCTCTCCAGCTGGACAGGTCTCAGGAACTCCGGCAGCCAGGTGTTGGGACGCCGCGACGACAGCGATGCTTGCTTTCTATCGTGCTCTTTGCCAGCATTTCTACGACCAACCGCCATGGAACGAGTCATGTCCCACAGCATGACACCCCGGCATATTTTACGTCATTTTATATTTATTATTTTTATTCCCTGTACCCTCGGTGTCCAAAGGCATTACAGAAACGGAGAATAAATTTGAGATCAAAACAAGATAATTTATAGTTATTCACACTAAAAAAAAAATACTGGTAAGAGCAGATCAAAAAAGTTCAGTGTCAGTTATGGATGCAATTGGTCCGGAAAGGTGGTTCCAGTCGACGGATGTGCGAGGAAGGAAAGAAGATTGGAATGTTGATGTGATAGCGATAGGTACCCCAACTTTGTGCTGATGATCATGACGAGCATAACTATAAAAGGGACGGGTGATTAATTTGTCGCGAAGCACAGAGTTATGCATGGTTAGAGGGATCTTTGGGCGGTTTCAAATGCGTTGCAAACTTGGCATAGTCATATGTTTTCCGGCCTCGTCAAAATAATTAAGACAAGTTTAAGTTTATTCAGCAGTAGAGTGTGTGAGAATATGCTTTAAGGAAAAGTTTTCGTGTGATCTGCTTGTTTCAAGGTTTTCTATAGCGCCTTGAGTACTTCGTGTCCTGGATGGCGAGAAGATCCTCCTAGTAACTGAAGTAATGCACATAGGTTATGACGTCCAAGTAATTTACGTGTCTCGTGCAAACCGTGTATATTCGACTTCCGCTCCGTGTCGGGCGCCCGCGCGATTTTTCCGCCTCTTATCTAGCCCCAGCCTTGTACCTGCTCCAGGAGTGGTAATTTTAGTGCGCTACTACTCTTCTCAAGCGCTTAAAGTCTTTCTGAAAATGACTGATTTAGTGGTTTTCGATAACGCTCAGCAACTTTCTAATTGGAATCATATGTCTATTTCCACTAATTGAAAAGTTAATTAACAAGTTTTAATTAATTATCTGGCTAATTAGTAGGTTTTTGGCAATTCCTGGCGTACGCCGTGGCTGGTAGTTTGTTCCCGAGAAGAGTTTCTTCGTTTTTCAATCGCCCTAATTTTTAGGATTTTTGAAAGTCTTCGCAAAAACACCCGGTATATAAAGCGAGAGAGAGAGGAATGACACCTAAAGTTTGCTAGAAGTTTTGTTTCCTTTATTCGAGCCAGCGTTTGAAAGCCATTCTCGCAAAGTTCTACTGGGTCGCTGGATAATGTCTCATTTTTCGATGCTTTGAATTCTTGCATTCCTGTAGTTGCTCAAATGAAGTATTGGTAATGAGTCCGAACTTTTCACGTTCTTGTGAGTGTCCCACACTGTTCGCAATCACGACGTGGGCGACTGTAACTGCTTCTCCACTTGGGCTGGATCCAGCTGCACCAGTTTCAAAGAGGCCTCGAAGACTTCCTGCGCCCTCTTGCGTCCAAGGGCGTTCCAGCCCATCAAGTCCTTTCGGCAGTCTACAAAGTACCTGCCGGTCTCTTTGACCAGCGAGGGCTCTACAGCCGCGTAGATGGACGTCTGGGCTCCTTCTTGAGGTGTCTGCGCAGATGTCCGAAAACAAAACAAATATTTATACTATGTAGCATCTGCAAACTCAAGTTGCATCTTTTTCTGTGTCAGCATGTCATTAGTTGGTTGATTGAGTACGTTTTCTATAACAGGTTAGGCACAACGACGCTGCCTCGAACACGTCTGCGATTGGTGTGTCCTATTCCGCCCATGCAAAAAACATATGGTTCCGAAGTGACCAACAAATTACTTCACAACAGCCGAAGATTTGCAGTGTCGGATGTAGCGATCCTGGTAGAAGTTTCGACAGAGAGCCCGAGCAAACGTGAGTGTCATCGTTGTCACGGCGTCCCAAGCTCTGACTGGAGAATCTTCCGTGGACTGCCAAGCTGAAGGGCGACCTGCAGCACAACAGGCCTCTGCCAGGGCCCGTTTGCTCGAAGCTGGTTAACTAACCGCGGTTAACCGGATTTCCCTACGAGGGGGAATTTCGGGTCACGTGACCGGCAGAGTAAGGACGGCGGGGAAATATGGCGGTGCCCCGGTGAGTGAGCGCCGCTCGCTTTGGAATTAATACGTAGTAGTAGCTGCAGTAGCGGGCGCGTTAGTCAGCAATGAATGGTGCAGGAGGTTTTCGCGTTGCCTTACCTCACTTAAAACGCAAAGCATGAGCAATGACCTCGCCGCATTTTTTAGATAGACTTTCGACTCTGGCCATTCCTAAGCGTAAATGAACGCGATAGTTGTCGGCATGGCAACGTCTTTGGAAAGTGGATTGCCTTGACTGAATCGCCCGGGTATTGATATCACACAAAAGCAGACAGCATTCCCATAGACCTTTTGCTAAATTTCAAAAGCACCGAGGTGCATGCTACGAGTGTGGTTACACGCGCTGCACCTGCTGGCGTCTGCAGTAATAACTCTTCTGAAGCAAAAAGCCTAAAACAAATTTTGCCGTGCACGCGCGTTCGTCAAAGATTCATTATGATCATTTACTTCAAATTTTTTGTAAATCGAAGGCCAGCGCGCAGATCGTAGAATTACACTTTCAGCGTTCTCCTCAATGCTTGGTTAATCTAGTAATAGGTCAATTTTCAGTGGAGCCGAGTTACAGGTTTTTCAATTTAGGACGGTGTTATATACAGTTCTTACATGCTGACCAACCATGCTGCCGGTGTACCGCCCGCTTTTCACTGCTCACTTCTTCCTCATCGTTTCTAGGACTCAACTTCGTCGTCCTCTTTCGAACTCGGAAGGAAATTTCAACGAGGCTTTTCTTCACTTCATACAACCAAATATTTAGAAAATTTCCAAACAAGGGCTAATTTAGTTTTACCTTGCCGATTATTTCTACCACGAGCAATAAAAATTCTTTCTCAATAAGCTCAAATGTATGCCGCACTGTGTCGCGAAAACCAGGCAGTGCGCATTTTTTGGGTCCCCCCATTTCGGGAACCTTTCCACGGAAGCCACGTATATTCGCTACAGCCAGTAGGTGACACCAGCTACCACCCCACAATAGAATACGGAGCTATCGCTCATCCAGCCCTCTTCAAACTTGACTAGGTACTTGTAGGTACCTAGTAGGGAAGGGCGGTTAACTTTTAACCGCGGTTAAAGTTAACCGGCTTTGAGCAAACGGGCCCAGATGCACCGCCACTGCTGCATGTGACACCGCCAGGATTGCGACTGGCGACAGCATGACGTCATCAGGCAAAACTCGAAAGACGTTTTTTTGTTGTTGTTTTTTTTTTTAACCTGGTAAACGTGGTAGAGACACCTGTGGCAGACGCCTGCGGGCACTGTTTAACAAAAGTCACTCTTGCGAGTTGGCGTCTACGGCCGAGGAACTCATTTCTATTAGTCTACCTTAAACTACGGGGTTTACAACATTTTTAAAACGAGCAATCGTATGCACACGCGCCCTATTTGCAATAAAGGCGCGACTACAGAGGACTTTCGAGCAAATGTAGTGAATCACAAATCGATCGCTATATAAAATCTTAAGATGTTGCGCCGTGTTTCGAAAATCTTTGTGCCCTGTGAAGAGTCGTATCGTGACGTTGCGCCGTGTTTCGAAACTTTTTGTGCCGTGTCTGAAGTCGTATCGTGGCTATTCAGCCGAGCATTTCAAGTGCCGTCCGACGGAGCTCCTGCGTGCATTTAAGACCGTGTGGAAGCTACATGTCCTGTCCTGGGAGGCAGAGCCTGGCGCCTCCTTAGACAGTACTCGTATCGCGCTCACTCGATGCTTGTAGATATCTCAAGCACTCGCATTAAAAAAAAAGTATTTATCGGCACTTCTCTGATTAAAAGTTAAGGCTTCCAGCTCAAGACACCCTGTAAAATTTGGTTTACATACTTCCGGCTGCGCACAACCGAGTTCTTTTAATCTCGACTAGACAACACCCTAGTGGCCCTAGGACTGCATTTCACTAGAGTAAAGTTTTTTTTTTTTTTTTCTATATCAAACGTACATTCTTTTTATGATAGACGGTTGTTCAAAATATTGTACAAAGTTTTCGGGCCAATAAAGGAAGAACGTTGAGCGAAAGCAATAGCAATATACGAACTTGCGAGTGTTTCTCGGCCACCCGATAGATGGAGCAAGCAGTCGCAAGTGTGTGAACCAGTTTCTATTCTAATGTGTGCTTTACCAGGCACGCGCCGCTACTCTGTTCCACCATAATGAAAAAAAGGCGCCAGAAAAAGGGATTGCGTTCTTTTACTTTGTCTGCAACGAAAACATACGTTCAATTTGCTTTTGCCATCAAGGTGCACGTTTTTTGGTATAAAATTGCCTTAATCAAGATTTTCCAAGTTAGTGCTTCAAATTCTTAAGAGTAGTACTTTCGGGACTGAGGGCTCTTTTACTTGAGTGTAATAAGCTTAGCCCGTACGCTATTGTAGTGCTTTATTTTTTTTTTTATTTTTTTTTTCGTATCGTAGTTGTGAGCATTAGCTCTCAAATATTACGGCATATAAATTGATACGTTACATAAGTAGATATCACTACTTTCGTTTTGTTAGACCATTCGTAAAAATCATTACAAAAAAATTGGATATCGTGTTTTCGAACAAGCGTCTGTTGGGCTGTGGTAATTGCTGAAGAGCTTTGAAACCACCCTACTGATAGTTAGGCGCGCTTATAAAATTTAGAAACGGCACTTTAGTGCACAGTATGAACCCACTCGAACGGCACTTGAACCCTGGGAATGAGCGGCGCAAGACGTCTCTATACATCCATTTTTCGTTGTATCCTTCCAAGTGATAACGGCCCTTCTAACTCTAGCTCAGCCAGTGAATGGGTTCCAATGCTGAACATTCGAGCAACACAACTACCGACAAGCAGCGTTGCAGCGTTATGGTGCGAAACTGTGACTAACATTAGAACTCGTGAAGCACACAAGAAAAGTCTCACCAAAACACATTACTTCGGCCAAGGAACTACCAAGTTAACCGCACATCCGAAAGCAATTCTCCAACCACTTGTGGGTGAGTCCTCTGGTGCAATCTTACTCACATTTTTGACATATTACTTGAGCTAGTGCTGAGCGGCAGCTTCACTAAATGGAAGAACAAAACTACTTCGGTTCAAAGCGTTATTTATCAATTATTGAACGGCGTCGGATTTCCTTAAATTTATTTACCGGCTTGACTGTTGCGCTCCTAGCTGCTCGCGCTGTCGGGTTCCGCTGTGTTCGAGGGAAACCAGATGAATCAGTGGTTGCGTTTTAATCAGGATTCACCAAGGTGTGCCGGCTAATAATAAACATTCGTTGAATATGCCGGAGATGGCACATCTTGTTAACTGTCTAGCACCCTGAAAACTGAAGATCAGAATCTCTTTTGTACTTAACTGAGTTTAATATGAGAAGGAACAGAATATCAGCCCCTCATTAGTATTTTCTTTTGATACTTCACTTTTGAAACTTGAAAAGCATGTTCCGCCTATAAAAATCTTGGCAGGTGTAACCAAGGTACTTTCGCAATTTTCGTTTCGCAACAGTGTATCATAACGAACACACTTTACATCTTACATGTCAACTCAGTAAAGGCGGTGTCCAGAAGGCGAGGTTCTGATAACGAACTCGTCAAAGGCTTAGGAGGAAGCAAATTTTAAGAAAGTTTCCCACATAAAAAAAAAAAATTAGCATCGTCAGCCCGTAGAAGGGCACAGTGTGTGACAGACTGTCGTTCCAAAAACAACCGATGCCTTCGTGTATCAACGGCTGTCATAAACGGGGCTTCGGGAAGTCACAAGGAAGCAGTCGCGGCAATTTATGTCTGCATAGCGTTTTGTAGATGTAGTTTTTGTTGTTGTTGTTGTTGTTGTTGTTGTTGTTGTTGTTGTTGTTGTTGTTGTTGTATTTGGCTTCGTACGCATTATACTCCCGCTGAATAAATTTCGGTTGCTCGACTGTAGCTTTGAAAAAAAGGTGCATCTTACCTTTCCGAAATAGTTGAAGATGAAGGTGAAAAAGAGAGATACAGAGTGCGAGGTGTCTTGAACGATGCTTGTCTTCACGGGGCCTGGGTGAACGGCGTTGACGGTGACACCTGTAATGCACAAAAATTCTAGTTACAACGAAAAAAAAAAATTGGCCTGGAAAAGGCAGCCAGCACGCCCACATTTCAAACTCAAACGCAGGAAGGATCTGCATCTGGGCTACCCCTGGGATGCCTCTACGACTGTGTCAGGCTAGAGGCTGGTTTAAGAAATATTGGCACGCGCGCCCCCGAGCAAGGGCGTCCGTGGCCGAACGGTTACCGTGCTTGGCTCTCACGGAAAGAGACACGATTCGGTACCTGGCAGTGGAGGTCCCACCTTTCTGTACCTTCTGTAAATGTCGCCTTCTAGTAAATTCGAGAACCCGGTTGTTTGTTCTAGGTTACAATGTTTTACTCCCCAAACCTTCCATGCCGATCGTTCCAGAAGCACTCGCGTGCACAAAAAGGGGCTCCGCGTGGCGAGCCGGAGTCAGTCTCGCCGCAGCGCTTGATCCTGCTGTTTTGCCGGCATTGATGGCTGCGACGCTATATATATATATATATATATAGAGAGAGAGAGAGAGAGAGAGAGAGATAAATAGGCACGGCCAGGTTTCCCGTGCCTCACTTAGCTTGTCTCTAAAGGAACTGCGCAACAATTTCAGTGCTTCGCTTAAATAATTTGGGAGTTGGTGTCTCGACCTTTCTGAAGTAAAGAACAAAAAACCGCTTTTGCCTGCATGTCCTAGTTTTTATTTTGAAAACTGGACAAAGATTGAGGTTTTCGGCACCTCTCAACTCCTTCACCATTTTCCGAGTCACGTGCGCTGTGACGTCAAGGGGGGACGTGCGGTGTTCCGGTGAAGCCCTCTCTCTCTCTAGAGCCATAGGTGAGCAGCGAGAACTCGCCCGCTCGCGAAGACGTGACCACGCGCTTGCGCAGGCTTTGGCGCAGCGCGATCAACATGGCCAAAGGAGGAAACTCTCGTCCGGGTCCGGCCATCCCCGTCCGGCTCTGCCCCCGTCCCCCTCCGGCTTCTGACGGCTGGTCGCGGTAGCAGATAGAGCTGATGGTTTTGTTGACCTCGGATAGATGGCACCACTGAAACTCTGTGTAATAAAAGTTTTGTCGCTGATAAGGGGGTTCTGATGCATTTATATTTATGTTGGAACGACAAGATTTATAGAAAAATTACCATTTATCGAACAAGTACAGGGTGTCACAAATGAAAATTTACACGGTCTTTTTTACCGCAAAAATAAACTAGGCATCGCCGAACGCTCATTCTGCGCCCAAAGGTAGAGCTAGAGGTCACACCCAGATGCCAAAGTTTGAGCCTGATCCGATAACTTAATCAAAAGTTATAAGTGATTTCCTGAAAATTTCAATGGGAAAATGGAGCCCATTTTTTACCGTTTTCGGTTTCTGGTGCCATAGAGCCCCATGTGTTTGAAAACTCCGTCGGCCGCCATTTTCCCATTGAAATTTTCAGAAAATCACTAATAACTTTTGATTAAGTTATCGGATCGGGCTGAAACTTTGGCATCTGGTTGTGACCTCTAGCTCTACCTTTGGGCGGAGAATGAGCGTTCGGCGATGCCTAGTTTATTTTTGCGGGAAAAAAGACCGTGTAAATTTTCTTTTATGACACCCTGTATTTGCACAACTGGCTATCTTTTTACGGGTCCCCCATTGACGTCACGCTGCGTGGTTCTCATGGCCACCGCTCGCGGCTGCAGCTCGGGAAATATTTTAATGTCTGCCTCGCGCTTACGCGGTAGAATCGCAACATTTCGGAGGAAGGAGATGGGCTTTCTGCCTTTTGGAACAAGATGAGCAATGCCAAAAGTAGAAGAAGCAAATTCTTCCAACGTTAAAATAGTTGCACCAGCTTCTTTAGTCTTCTTCCCTGGGTGAGCCGTGGAAATATCCGAACTAAACTACGCGTGTTGCTTAACAGCGCTTCGTCGTTCAATCTGGTATCGTGTCTCAACGGAGTCAAGAACACTTCTGTGAATTCGTTAAAGCGGAAAGCTTTCAGGCGCAGAATTAAAGCGCGCATACATACGGTCGAGTGCCATGACGAGACACTTATTGTTTTGATCTGTTCCTTTTCTCCTCAGTTGCCCTGTCCGGCCGGCGGAAAAGCTAGTGGCATTGGCTACTGTGGCGCGCGTCAAGAGGACTTTCTCTGGTCCATGGCCTCGCAGCGTTCCCTGTGCTTTGTGTCTTCACCTAAAGGCGGTATTTAGACGCGGGATGTTTTCGGGGAGGAATGTTGGTGGCATCAGCGATCGGCGGAACCCGCGGGACTCCCTTCCAGACTCCAGCAATCACACGAACGGCGGGAAGTCGACAGGGATTGGAGTGTTTTAAGGCGCATGTAGCAGTTGCACTCTCGACAACAGGGCTAGGTGCGCGCTGACGAGAGCATGAAGATGGAGGCGTACCTGAGACGTTGATAGGCGATTATGTCACCAGCGTTGTTAAATACAAAAAGAAAGTTCCTGCTAAAAAATAAAAAAATATATATATTTTTTTTAATTGAGTGGATGCAACACAACCCGTACGAAAATGTCAGATTCAGGCCGGAATGAAAAATGCCGGTTCCGCCTAGACAAAAAATTGGCGCACCAGTTTGTATCCAGCCTGAAACCGCGCATTTCCAGCCCAAATTTTAAAGGGGTACGGAAACAAAAATTTAAATATTCAAATTTCGTTCGGAAACGAGTCAAGCATGGCGGATAATAACGGTAAATTATAATCGCACGTTTGTATTTTGAACGACTGACGGTGCACTCGAGCAAGCGCTCCAAGAGAAGCGATCGGAGACCGCGATGCGTCATGGGCTATCCGGCGCAAACAAAAAGAGAAAGAAAAGGTTTCCCACGTTCGTGGAATTGCAAGGCTGGCGTGGCTATAAGCTTTGCACTTGGTGGCGTTGTCAGGGTTGTGGTGGTGTCAATAGGGAGTTTTCGTAGACCGCGCTGCCCCCTCCGCTAAGCGTTCCGCAACGAAGAAGTCGCTACTGCGCCTGCGCGCCGATAGCCTTGACTGTGGAGTTCCCGCTATCGTAGCGGGTTGCGGAGGGCCTTGCGGGACGGCGAAAACGATCTACGAAAACTCCCTAATAGCGTCAGCGCGTTACAACCGAGCCGTACGAAGTACCCTTGGGGTGACGAGCGTGTGGCTGGCCCAAGGGGCACGTAGCTTCCACAACACTGTCAGCTTACGGCTGAACGAGGTGGGGAAAGCAACTTTTGTTCGAGTTTTGAGAGACGGGCTAATCTTCTAGGGGGAGAATGGCTGTTTCCGGTCGCACGAACGAGGGTCCGAGAAAGAGTGCAGTTCTTCCTTTCTGTCTTCTTAGACCGTTTGGTACAGTGCGCGATGTGTGAGTTGGGCTAGGAGGAATGCTAAGAAGGAAAATGTGGAAATTCCAAAGGGCGGCGCTGCTCCGAAGGAATCTGCTACGTCACGACTACGTAGCAGTTTCCAGAACGTTGCTAGACTATCTCCCAAATAGGCTCCGCATGCATCCACCGGGCGCACATTAAAGGATCGTCTATTTAGCTTTAAAATTAGTTTTCTTGCGCCTTTCAACGGAAGACTGGTGTTTTTGAGGTTAGGGTGCAACATGCAACACATTCAAGCTAGACAATGTGCGCTGAAATTTCGCTTCCCTACCCTTTTAAAGGGATACTTCAACGAAATTTGAAATATTCCCGTCGTGTTTAAAAATAGGTTAAATATGATCCACAATATCCGTAAATGACAATCGCATGTTTGTATTTTGAGCCTGGTGGCTGTATTTTTTCGTTATAAACGGCTCACTCTGGCAAGCGCTCGGAGAAGGCCCAGCGGAGACCACGTGACATCCAACGCAATCGTGACGTAGGTCGTCTCAAGACGAGCAAAGCTACGCCGAGGCTGACGTCGAGAGGATGGCCTAGTCGTTCCGGCCACCGAAGCGGCTGCTTTTGTACGAATTTTGAGTGACGGGTTAATCTTCAATAATCTTGTAGGGGGACAATAGCGACTTCTGCGACACACAAAAGGCATTCTCGGGAAGAGGGGATCCTCCTGCCCCTCTTCTCTCGTCGTGGCCGGAGACGAGACAACCTCCGTCACTAGCTGTCAAGGTTCCTAGACGGGCATTACAAGCGAGGCGTTAGCGACATCCACCAGGTGCTCTTTGCTAATCGTTTAATTCGTTTTAAAATTCCTTTTCGTGACTTTTTTAACAAGATATTGGTATGTTCGATGTGATGCTGCGTTTTTGAACACATATAGACCAAAAAATGAGCGCCGAAATTTCGTTGTAGTATCCCTTTAAACCCAGGCGGTGCACCGCCGGAATTCCCGCTGCGCTTACCACTGGACTCTACAAAAGAATTTCGCGCGATGCCCTTAGCCGTTACAAGCGAGAAATCGTCGCGGTTTCAGACCCAGGCGGACTGGGTGTGAAATCGCGACGATCTCTCCCTTGTAACTGCTAAGGGCATCGCGCGAAATATTTTTGTAGAATCCAGTGGTGAGCGCAGCAGTAATTCCGGCGGCGCACACGGTCGTCCAGGCGTTGTCGCGTCGTCATTAAACACGGTGCACGGAACACACACACAGCACGCACAAGCACGGTATCCAGTGTTGAGTGCATCGGGAAGTTCCGGCGGGCAAGCGGTATCCGAGTTGTCCAGGTATTGTCACCAAGCACACCAGCGCATCTAGATGCCGAGCCAAACGCAATTGGTCGGCAGCTTCACACTATATAAAGATTCAAAGCCGAGGTCAGTGGGTATCTATCCAGGGAAACGATGGGCGCGTCAGTATCCGTGTGCTTGCAGCGCGAACGTCCCCGCCGGCCGAGTGCCGACTGACAGTCCGACGAGAGCGAAGGAAACTAAACTGACTTAACTCCAGCCGCGCTGCCGCCGACTGCAACAGAAAACGGACAAAGCCAGGTGTGCGCCACGTGCGCGCGGAGAACGCCCGCTCGCAGCGCCTCCGCAGCGGATGCGACTGTCCCTAACACGTGACCTGCGAGAAACCGCAGAAATTCCTCGCCGAT